GTCAGCAGCCGGCGGTGGAGCCGCGACGCTGCGGGGGAGGCGGGGAGTCGGCCGGCGTCGGAGGTGGAGGTTACGCCGCCGTCGGAGAGGGGTGGGGAGGGCGCCGCCAGGACAGAGGAGGGGGGAGGGAGAGCGAGCGAGACAGAGCTGCTTTTCCTTTCCTGGGAGGGGCCGGGCCGCGGAAATATCCATGGCCCAATGTAATGTATCACATCACGCCAAAAGCCATGGCCCAATGTATCCATGGCTTTAACCCTGGGCACGAAATAGCCACGGCATGAGCTCACCATGTCGCGTCTGGAGCCGAGGGGGAGCTCGTCGTCGTCGTCTCCTTCACCGGCGCCGAAACCCTAGAAACATGACGAATGTGATTAGATGAGAATTTCCATGTATTCTCAAGAACGCTTTTGCTTTTATATATGAGAACTTTCCGGCCCGTTCTGTGTTATAAAAAGGATTGAGCCATCTTTGTTGCATTTTTGTTACTATTGCTACCTGTTGCTTGTTACGAATTACCTTGCTACAAAACTATCCGTTGCCGCTACTTTCAGTACTTGTAGAGAATACCTTGCTGGAAACCGTTTATCATTTTCTTCTGCTCCTGTTGGGTTCGACACTTTTAATTATCGAAAATACTACGATTGATCATTTATACTTGTGGGTCTTCATCAAACCCCATGACCCTTTTTTATCCCGCACCATATGGATTTTGATCAATAAAACTTGATTAATAACCCTAAAAAACTAAAACGGGCGCATGAAGCCCTAAATAGGGATCACCCCCGTTAAGTGCTCCCAAAGCACCTGCTATGTAAGGGAGAGGGGATTTGTCTTGCTCATCGCGAGACGAAAGAACCCCTAGCATCTGGCGCCACCTAAACAAGCCTTCCCATCACAGGAGAGGGTTGGCTCCTAGCACACGTTTTTTAATCTTTTTGTTTTATTACTATTATTTATATTTTTCGATTGGAAAAATATTTTACTTTAATCTTAAAACGTTAATTTATCATTTAAAAATATTCATGCAGTGTAAAATATGTTCACACAGCTAAAAACATGTTCTTAGCATTCGAAAAGAATGTTCACGGACTTCGAAAAAAGTGTTTGTGACGTTAAAAAAAGTTTGCACGATGTAAAAAAAATATGTTTTAATAATTTTAAAAATATTATCCATGCCATTCAAAAAAATGTACTCCCTTCGTTTCAAAATAGATGATCCAACTTTATACTAACTTTTTCACTAAAGTTAGTACAAAGTTGAGTCATCTATTTTGGAACAGAGAGAGTACATGGCATTTCAAAAAAATGTCCACGTGTCTCAAAAATATGTCCTGGACATTTATAAAAATGTTTATAAAACCTAAAAAAGTGTTCATGTTGTATAAAGAAATGTTGAATACCATTCAAAAAAATGTACGTGACATTTTAAAGAAATATTCAATCATTTCAAAAGAATGGTCCTAACATTTCAAAATATTAATACAATATTAAAAGCTGTTTTATCATTTATGAAGAGTAGTTTCAACTGCTTAAAATGCCATCACTTAGTAGGCGCATGCAAAAGAATGCCACTAGACACCATTACTACCAACTCAAAGCCCGTTTACTATGTTACATGGCCAACATCCTCATGGACCAACATGACAACTCATCTTACTACCGTAAAGTGTGAGTCCCACTCGATCCCCACAATTTTCTTAGTTTCCTCTAAATTATTCGCTTGCTTGCTTGCTGACAAGTGGGGCCAACCTTATCATTATGAGATAGAGAGAGCTGACGGTCATATAACATGATCAATGGATTTGACCTGGCATTAGTGATGTTTGATGGTGTTTTTTTAGCAAACATCTAACAAAATGATGAAATTTTAAGGTGTATTTTTGAGCAAGCATCTCACAAAACAAATGCAATTTTTGAGCAGTTGTAACTTCTAATGTCAAAACTGGATAGTGAGACACAACTAGTGGCGTAAATGATAAAATCTCTATAAAAACGTTCACATAGTTAAAGTAATGTTTCGTGTCATTAAAACAATGCCCAATGTGTATTTGAAAAATGTTTGACATGTAGTACTGATATTTGAGAAAACGTATAGGATATATTTGAAAATGTTCCATGCGTACCAAGAAAATGTTCCACTGTGTACTATATGTACGACGTGTACTAAAACATTAGACATGTGTTAAAAATAAAAATAAACAAAGGAAAAAAAGAAAAAAACTGAAGAAATGCTGAAAAACTTAAAAAAGATATAAAAAAACAATAAAGAAAGACAGAGAAAAAAAACTTGAGGCCTACTTGGATCTGCACCCGTCCCCTTCCGCCCCACATTTCACAGAAGAATAAAAAAAGAGCTGCTTTACTCCCGTCCCCTGCCGCCGCCGGCCGGCTGCCCCACCACACTCCCCGACGGAGCTCCGGCGGGGGAGTCGGCGCTCTAGACCGCCCCCCGCCCCCCGCCCCGGACACCCTCGCGCTCCCATGGCGCCAGCCACTCTCCCGTGCCTGAGCATTTTCCTTTCCCGCAGTCGCCACCGCTGCCGTCCTCGTCTCCGGTAGCTCGCCGCCGCACCGAGAAAGGTGAACCTCCTCCTTCCCCTTTCTCCTGTGTGCATTACCATTCTGTCACATTTTCAAAGGCGCATGCCTACTTAATTACCTTCGCCTGACTGAGTAGGATTCCTTCCGAGCACATGGATATGGATTTCTCGCTGGTACAGATCCGGCAAGGAGACGAGGACGAATTTCAGTGAGGCTGAACTCCGGCTAGTACATGGTAAGCGACAACTATTTACCATGGCTTGTACACTACCAGTTTGCAGTCTGTTGTGGAATCGGATGTCATGCCCTGGTAATACACTACATGGTGACAGTAGCAAATTAGCTAACTGTAAGTCGAGCGGCAATTTCTGAAAGACGGTGTGCCGACCACCACATTGCAGACGATTGCGATGTTTCACATGACGAGATGCCTTACAGTTTACCATTAGGCTGCTTATCAAGCTGAAAATCAAGTGTCATACACAATACAATAGGCATTTATTACTGCAGCAAATTAAGTCTCAGTGTCCAAAAGAAATACATTCAGAGTCTCAGTGAAACAAATCTCTAGATTTGCGGCATGGGGTGGCCCGGAGACGAAACAAATGGCTTGGGGGGCATCGTTAGACTCTGCAAGGTTCCTGTCAGCATGTTCAGCACTTTCGGCATGGACGGGCGATTTTTGGGGTTCCACTGAATGCACCAGAGTGCCACAATGGCCAGCTTTCTTACTGTATCCTTCTCTTCTTGCGTCATGTCCCTTGATGATTCCAGCTCTTGCTCCGTGCTTATTTTCTCATATATCCACTCTGGGATGTAAACCTCGTTTTGGTTCTCAATCCATGGATCTGAGTTCCTCCTCCCGCTAACCATTTCCAACACCAGCATGCCAAAGCTATAGACGTCCGACTTACTGGATATTCTCCCAAAGTTCCGAGAATATAGTTCTGGCGCGATGTAACCCATTGTTCCTCTTGCTGCAGTCAGTGTGACGATGCTATGATCCCTTGCACACAGCTTTGCAAGCCCAAAATCTGAAATCTTTGGACTGAAGCTGTAATCCAGCAAGATGTTGTGAGGCTTGATGTCAAAATGGAGGATTCGCTGATTGCACCCTTGATGCAGGTATTCAATTCCTCGTGCAATGCCTGATGCTATTTCCAGCATTTTCTTAGGTGCTAATAGCTCTCGACAAATATCTGATTCTTGTGCGAATATATACTTCTCGAGGGATCCATTAGGCATGAATTCATAGATAAGAGCACGCCTTGTTCCATCTGAGCAGAATCCCAAGAGACGGACCACATTAGCGTGGTGTATTCTACCAATGGTTGCAACTTCATTCATGAATTCTTCTCCATCGCTCTTTGAGTTCTCCAGCATCTTTACAGCCACAGGTACTCCATTTGCCAGCTGACCTTTGTATATGCTTCCAAATCCACCCTGACCCAGTTTATCTTTGAATTGCCTTGTTACTTTTTTAACTTCAGAGAATGTGTACCTTGTTGGTTTTGATGTGCCATATGCCTTGAGAAACATTTCGATTTTCAAACGTACCTCTTCATCAACCTTTGATTTCAGGGATCGATAGAGTGCTGTGGCTGCTGTCAACAAGAGAACCACAAATGTGGCTACCGATGATGTTGCTGAAAAACAAGAATGCAGGCAAGCAGTGAGTTATACTTGGACTAAAATAATCTTGCTTTCATGTCTTTCCTCTTATATATGGGTAAGATGCAAGAATAAGAGTAATATACAACAAAATGTATGCGTAATACCTGCAATGACTTTCACACGTGAACCTGCATGTAGGAAATAAGCGATTTAGATTTTGTGTGCAAAATAATAGAAGGCTTACAATTTCTATTTCTTTTTGTAAGAGAAAAAAAAGGCTACTGACTTTTTTCTCATGCCAGTTTTTTGTTGATGGAATGGAAAAGAGATTCAACACATGACAGTATGCTAATTTGTGGTAAAACCACAGATCAGTAATATACATTTTTTGTAATGATGAAACTATTTGCATATATCTGAACTTTCTTGGACATCATTTTTTTTTTCTGAAGTAATAACTTCAAAAGTATGAGCATCACAAAAATGCAGTTTAGTTGGGCTGGAATTCAGGCCTGTTTATCAGAAATTTCGGAGCTAAACATAGTTGCTGTTTCTGAAACAATGTGATACTTTTCTAGTAAGAATTTAACTATAAAAATGGGTTACTGTTAATGTTGTATGGGGGAGTATCAGAACCATGCGAGTGAAATATTTACTGGACTCAGATATGCTGGTAAACAGAGACATATTTGCATATATATAGCAAAGGTTGGATAAAAAGAAGTGTTCTTTATTTGGATCATTTAGGTACTCTTGTCAAAATTATTTAAGGCATGCAATTTATTCAGAACAAATCCTTCGATGCTTAAGAATTACTAGAAACAATACCTTGGCGCTTGCAGAATGCTTGCCTGCGTTGTGAGCTGAATCCGCAGGGATGCCCATTTCGCTCGCAGTCTAGACAAATGTCGGTTATGTTAGGAACTGACCAAGTCAAGGTTGTCTCACCAAATGCAATGACCCTTCTGGCTCTTTCAGCAAATAACACAGCAGTTTTGATATCATAATCCCACGGCGTTGAGATACCGTTTGAAACCACTGTGCAGTCTAAGGGAAGGATATACATTGGTTCACTACCGTCCATCAAATATATGAACTGGCTTGTGTTGCTCAGGCAAGAGATTGGGCCAACAATATTGTCCCCCATACCTGGTATTGTACCGGCCTTCTCTGTTGGTATCAACTCTCTTGAACAGCGTACCAGGTTTGCAGTTTCACCTCCGTAACTGTCAGGTATGTATACACTAGTTGATAGATTGGTGGTAGAGATCTTCTGAAGCGGGCACCTAGTCCATGATTCTTCAAGCGGGATGACATTAAGGCCACCAAATATGTAGTCAATTGCAGTGACCTTGCATAGTCCAAGGATTGGGTGAAGTAGCATGGTATCTGCTTCCCTAGAGCATGCTAGCTCCAAGCCAGGTGCTCCGCACGATTGGGGGCTGGTTGCAAGGCGGAACGGAAATCGGATCTCTATTGTGCCTTCTTCGCTGCACCTTGATGGTGTGCAGTTATGGAAGAAATCTCCATCACCACTTGCTGTGGCTCTGTTGATTCCATAGTTAAGAACAGAGAACAACAGAGCTGCAACCAAAGCTTCAAACATTTCTGTGAAAAATGAAGATGAGGAGGAAATGAGATGAAGCTATGCCTACAAAAACTGAGCTGCTTTTGTAATGTTGAAATCATAATGGAGAAATATCTTAGCCACCTTGGCGTTGGTGACTATCAGTTGGACAGATTCCAACCTTTCTTCCATGGACGAGGCTTCTTGGATGTTGCCTTTGACAAGTCAAAGCCTATCTTCCTGTATACAAGCCAAAAGCTTGACTAAGAAAACGACATGACTGGTAACAGATCACCCAGCAATCAGGTGGCACACCAGGCTTGACTATTCTTCCTCTTGTGTCTCCATCAATCCATATGCACCAGAAAATCCGTATATCATCATTCTGAGACCATATTAGCCTTCTTAACTCTAGTACCAGCTTCTGTGCCTAATCCTGCATCTGTAAAGCTCTCATGACGAACTCCGTCACATTTCCACGTTCTGTTATACTCCAAGCATTAGCAATCTCCTCCACAGTTTCAGTTTTTCTAACAAAGACTGGAGCGGAAGATACTCTGGGGCAAGCAGTTTGCCCCTCTTTCTCCTGTGGGCATCTCCAAGACATCCACCATCCTTTTCGATTGCGAGGGGATCCACCTGGTTGTGGTGTTCAAGAATACGAGCTTGTTTGTAGCGATGACCAGGCTATAATTCAAGTCAATACGGGAAGGTACTTCATCACCAACATCTCCTACCCCGACTCTGTTTTCTGGGTTGTTGATGGCAGTTTGGATAATAGCAGCTGCCCTATTCCTGAGAGGAATCAACATCCTTATATCTATGGACTGAGATCAGATTACATGTTCTTGTTACATATGCGTACGGTTAAATGGGCTGCCTTTGTCAGTTGTTCACGGATGATGAAAGATAATTTTATTTATAAGCCTGTCGCTTGCCGGAGTACGAACACTTCTTTTGTTTATGTGTTGAGTACCACACAATCTTATCTGGTTCAGAATGTTGAGCCTTCATGTGGATACTTGGCCATGACTCCTTTGGGAAGCTGGGGTCTGGGGCCAAATGATTATTATTCAACTTATGATTATGAAGATATTGTAAAATTTATGAGGGATGGGTTTGCTTTTAGATTTCCTTTCCCAGCTCCAGAATGGACATATCCTTGGATCCTCAAGACATGCCTGAAAAATTCAAGGAGGTGAGTCTCTATGCTCTCTGGTTGCATTTTTCACCTCAAATGGGTTTGTCTTACCAAAAAACTGTTTATGCAGCGACTTCCACAAACAGATGTCTAGTTCAAGCATCCAAAATAAGATTTCTGTGATTTTTGCCATCGACGTGCGTTTCTTGGGATGTGTAGAAAACAACTCCTTGTCTAAATACACTAAATTATATTGGGCTGTGTTAGTCATAGTATCTGCTATAAGTATCATGAAGCTCATTATCGGTATGACAGAATTATCCAATCCTTATTATTACAGCTCCATAACTTTATACATGTAACTCATGTCTGTAATCTTGTTTATGCAGTGTTGGCAGTACTATCCAGATTAGTCTTTGCACCGTTGTCTGTATTGATCTTCCTTGCCTACAAGTACTGGCAAACAAAGATATCAGTTGACGCAGTTGAGAGGTTCCTCCAGATGCAACCAGCCCTTGGCCCAACAAGGTTCGCTTACACAGACATCACTGCGATCACTAGCCACTTCAGAGACAAGCTGGGCCAAGGAGGCTATGGGTCCGTGTACAAAGGTTTGCTTCCCGGTGACGTCCATGTTGCCATCAAAATGTTGGTCAGTTCCATGTCCAATGGAGAAGAATTCATCAGTGAGGTGTCCAGCATCGGAAGCATTCACCATGTCAACGTGGTGCGCCTAGTGGGTTTCTGCTCGGAGGAAATGAGGAGGGCTCTTGTTTACGAGTACATGCCCTGCGGATCTCTTGAGAAGTACATCTTCTCGCCCGAGAAGAGTTTCTCCTGGGACAAGCTCAATCAGATTGCTCTGGGCATTGCCAGAGGGATCGACTATCTGCACCGAGGGTGCGATATGCAGATATTACATTTCGACATCAAGCCTCACAACATCCTGTTGGACAGTGACTTCACCCCGAAAATCGCTGACTTTGGGCTGGCGAAACTGTACCCCAGGGATAACAGCTTTTTGCCGGTGAGCGCTGCACGGGGGACAGTTGGCTACATAGCTCCCGAGATGGTGTCCCGTAGCTTTGGTGCCATATCGTCCAAGTCTGACGTCTATAGCTTTGGGATGTTGTTGCTGGAGATGGCCGGGGGGCGGAGGAACGTGGATCCACGAGCGTCAAGAAGCCAGACGTACTACCCGTCATGGGTGTACAATCAGCTGTCTCAGCAAGAGGTGGGTGGGATCTCGGAGGCTGTTGGTATCCATCAGGTGGAGAGGAAGCTGTGCATCGTTGCGCTGTGGTGCATCCAGATGAAGCCAGACGACCGGCCGGCCATGAGCGAGGTGCTAGACATGCTTGAAGCTGGCATCGATGGCCTCGAGATGCCTCCCGAGCCCTTCTTCTGCGGGGACGAGTTCGCCCCTGCTGCAGATTCTTCAGTATTATCAGAGATAAGTTCATTCTCATAGTGAAATGCCTATACATCGTAACTTTGGACCAAATTTTATCCTCTACCCACCTCAGGTGCGCTCAGCAAGTCAATATTTGTTTTGGAAGGTTTGAGAGTGTAAGATTATCCTTGGTTAGATTTGGACCTACCTACCGCCATCTGCCTACCGCAGAAGGTTCTGTTGTGTGCAATGTGAAGAAGATACTCTTTTTCCTTAATACAAAGAGGAGACATTGAAAATGATGATGCAAATTGTAAATGTGAACCTGGAGAGAACTGCTTTCTGTATTTCATTCAAGGAAACATGATAATCCCATTTGGCGCTGTTGTTACTGTTTCTGTACAATATCGATCTCATTCAGTTGAATATTTGAATGGCAGTGCATTGTGCGATGCTGTAGTATTTGTTTACTAAAGTGTATTCTTTTATGGGTGTAATTGCACAAAATTTGCATGGATTTGTGGTGTTCTTGGCAGGAAGAGATGGCGTGATGATCATGCCGGGGTTTCATATTCCGCGAATGGATATGAAGCGTTTTGCTGCAGGAGCAATCATCATTCCTGCAACACATGTAAGTGCAAAACTTTCATCATTTCACAACAGAAGTTAACTGACACTCCATGGATTGTACACAGATAGAAGGAGCAGTATCATCAACAAGAAGAACCAAAGGAGAGGTGGCCTTCCCATAGCTAAAAACCGCGGACAGGCAAGATCTGCTGCAATTTGGAGGTTACTGAAAGCTTTGCCATTCTTCTTATGTATGCTCTGCTTGTTATTTAAGTTACACACCCACACAACCCGTAGCATCGCCCACAGGCGTCTCTCTTCTCTCCTGCGGTGCAAGGTTGATTTTCTTCTTAAACATTCACACGGAAGGATCGGAGCTACTCCTAGAACAGTGCGCGCTGGGATTAGAACATGTTAATTAGGAAGTTCAGGAACTCTGTTTCCAACAAAAGTTCAGACACGGAGGCAGGGAGGGATGTTCAGAAAAGATCATAATCTGCCCTGTTTGTCGTCGTCCGTTGTGGTTAGCTCCGGTGAGGAGTAAGACGAGCATCACGAGAAGGGTCAGGATCAACGGAGCAGGGTACGAGTGAGGAAGCTGCTGTTTCACTTTCATCCCTCAAGTGTTCTGACATAACGTGCAGAACCGGTAGCGTGCAGTACACCACGGTCTGGCTACCCTTTGCCCGGCGAAGTGGAGGCCTGGTGAGGGTCCCCGCTGGGTGCTGGCACGGCAGGGGAACGGACGCCGTGTCGAACTCCCATCGACTTCTGGCCTGCAAAGTTGAGATCATCATCGAGACATCCAGGAAGAAGAACACAGAGATACTCTTGCACAGTGCTAGCTACAGAACTTGAGCTTGCTACTCCAAGTTCAGAAACTGAGGGCAAACAGAGCTTGAGCTTGTTACTCCAAGCTTTGAAATGGGCTACTCCATCCTTGAACTCTCAAGTGTCAACTGAACCTCTATCGAATCCTGTACACATTGCACCACAAAGTAGTTACAAACCTATCTGCCTTTCTTTTCTGAATTTTGTCCAACTTCAAATAAGGAGCATTTTATTTTTATGTAGCTCAAATCCTGACCGTCGACACTGCTGGTCGTGGCTATGGTGGGCGCATACGCGGCAATGGCGGAGGCAACCTCAAGTGCCAAGTCTGCTCCAAATTCAGGCATGACACGCTACAATGCCGCAACCGGTTCAATCATGTGCTCCAGTCCGAGGATCATCGTAGTTCTGGCGACGTCGCAACACTGGTTTGTATTGTACACAATGGACATGAACTAGTACGCGAGGGCAGGCCTGGCGCAGTGGTGAAGTCCTCCCCACTTGTGCCAAGAGGTTCTGGGTTCGAACCAGCCTCTCTTTATTGCACTTTGCAGGGATAAGACTAGGTTCCTATAATCCCTCCCCAGACCCCACCTTGTGTGGAAGCTTCTATGTACTGGGTCTGTCCTTTTTTTGGACATGAACTAGTACGCATGATTGAAGTGGTTGCGGCACTATGTCTGAATGAATAGGGATCAAACTTGGGACTTGAGGTTGGTTCTGTATTGGGACTTGAGGTTGATTTCCTTGTATTTATACTTGGATGACACTTGATCGTTAAGGTTACAATTGATTATAGGACGAATCAATCTCTACAAATAATGTCTTATCTAGGGATTGTGAGGCTGGTCGTAATGGTAGTATCATAGCTAGTATCATGCATGCCGACTAGGCAATTTTGATGAGGTGTCATAGCATTAAATGAAGAAAGAAAAGGTGTAGTATCATATCATGAAACCGTATCATATTAAATGCTATGCTACTTTGTGTCATGCATGACAATAAATAGAGTGCTACATGATACTAATACTAATATATGATACTATGCATTAGGGATGTAATATCATACACTAGTATCATATGCATGATACTAGTATATGATACTCCCCGTTACAACCAGCCTGACAGATACAAATCACAACAATATATGTTAGGTTTAACTCAATTGATTCGATCAGGACCACACGCATTAAAAGTATTTCTCCACGTGATTTTTTTGGTAATGCTAGCCTAATAATACCCAAACCCCCATTTCCGGGGGCGTTTTCGCTCTAATATTTATCCACTTGGATGAAAACGACCCCCTGGTAATCCCTTACATGGCACGTGTATTATTTTGGGAGATGGCTGTGTACAAATGCGTTGGGTATTCATGTTTCGTTTCAAATTTTTTGAACGTGTGTGCCGTTTGTGTTGGTTCGTTTAGTGTTTTCTGTTTCCTCCGATCAGTCTCTATCTTCACTAAAAGTGTGTCTGCTCCATGTGGTGTGTTCCTCTCCAATCTTGCTTTCCTCCCTTGCCTTGTTCTAGCATGCATGTTTTCAAATTTTGCTTTCCTTCTCTGTGCCGTTCTAGCATGCAATAGGTCAGCATGTGTTTGCATGGCAGGAGAGCCACGTAGAGCGGGAAGAAATGCGCCGCGTGCTCACAGATTGGTCTTCTCTTCTCCTGTCGGTTGGCTCCGCATGTCGACCTCCCTTTGGAAGGCTTGCGCGTTGTCTCGACTTCACCGCCCACCGCTCGAACTGCTGCTTCGCCATCGTACCCCCCTATATAGGCCGTCGAGCTCATTCCTACACCATTATCCATCTCAGCGGCGCCTACACGCGCCGGCGGCTGTGTGAGGCCTCGGCCAGCAGGGCCAGATGCGGTGGTGCTGGAGGTCGGCGAGGTCCCCATGGCGCGCGGCGTGGCTCACAACGGAGCTCGCACTCCGCAGAGCCCCACGACCATGGCGACGGCCAGCGCGATACTGTGGCAACGAGCACGAGGCCATGGACGGCGGTGCAGGTGGCTCGCAGTTCGAGCGTGGGCGGTGGGCATTGGCAGGGCTCGCGTATGGTCGCGGCGGTGCGCGGCCAGGCGGAGCTCGGGCAGCAACGGCGGCTGGTGCGTGCGCGCTGTGACCATGAGCTGCGACCTGCGGCATGCGGCAGCGAGGCTCTGCCTAATCTTCTCTGCCGTCACTATCTTGCCTCCTCGCGGCCCTCCCCATCCCACCACCGAGCTCCTGTCTCCCCTCCCAGTTGAGCTCCGCAACGCATCAACTCTCCCCATGGCCGAGCTGGTGGCAGGAGCCATCGGAGATGGCGTACAGGAAGCGCGACCGACGCGGCGGAGGTGGTTACCTCGAGCCACATAAGCACAATTGAGTCCTGGAGCGGCGGCGGCAGCGGCCGCCATTCCACGCCCAGGCCATCCAGGAAGACTGCCACGCAACCACTTCAATCATGCGTACTAGTTCATGTCCAAAGCGTATAAACTAGTGTTGGCGGCATCGCCGAAATGCTCATGATGATCATCAGGATGGAACACATGATTGAAGCGGTTGCGGCATCGTAACATGTCATGCTTGAATTTAGAGCAAACTTGGCACTGGAGGTTGATTCTGCCATTGCCGTGTATGCGCCCACCATGGCCACGACAGCCTTGTCTTCACCTCTTCCACCACACTGACCCTCCATATAGCCTAGCTTGCTGCTCGCGGGCAAGTTTGGTGCTGATGAAGAGTACATATAAGTTGCTAAATCTGATGGGCTCGTCGCATGTTGTGATTGATGACACCAAGGTCTCGAATTCTGGACCTGATCAACGAAGGAGGCGTTCATGCAGTGAAGTGTCAACTAGACAACCCTAGTGGTGGTGCGCTGCATCATCTGGCCAAAACGGGCGTCCCTGACCATGTTACGAGGATCTCGACCAGAGCAACATCCACGAGGGTTATGGCAGGAATGACCTGACACATATCGCCAATAGAGCAGGTTTGTCTATTTCCCCATGTTGGTTACTCAACTATTCGAGGCTCATCTAAACCACTCTATGTCTGTAACATCCCACATGTTCCTTGTGCTAACAGACCTTTAGTATTCGTGCACATTTTAGTTTATGAGAATGATGTTTTTGCTTAGTTTCACCTCCATTTGTTTTATCATAATAAGGACGAACAACAAGATATTGTGGTGGTCCACTGGCAAGCTTCAAGCTCTCGTCCTTCCTGTCTAGTCCTTGAGCTCTATCCCAGTCCGAACTCTTGCTAAATCTATGGCATCAACGATTACGTCATCCGTCCAAATGTGTCATTGAGTCAGCCCTTCGGTTAAATAAATTTGCACGTGCACCTCTCTTGATGCATGTTAACGTGCAAAAGTTTACAATTGCATTTTTGTGATTCAACTCAGGTTACCCATGTGCCGCTTGAACTTATTTGCTTACTTGTATGGGTTCCTGTGATTACTTTTATTGATGGTTTCAAATATTATCAGAGTTTCGTGGATGATTTTAGTTGTTTTACATGGATCTATCTTCTAAAATGCAAATCTGATGTCAAGCAAGGCTTTTATACACTTTCCAGTAGCATGTTGAACGCATGCTAAACACCAAGATTGAGGCCATATAATCCGGTGGGGGAGGGGGCTGCAAATTGTCTATCTAGGTATTTCAAAAGGAAATATATATCACACATCATGTATCATG